TGTACTTCCTTTGACTAATTTTTTTTTTTTTTAAAGAAATTATTTTATTGTTTTATTTCAAGCTGCATACAAAGAGATTGCATTGAATGAATCGAGTCAAATGGACATTGTTAAAACAGGAAGTCCTTTTAGGAAAATAAGCCATCTGGCTAACATTGCCATCTGTTGACAAATACTTGAAGTACAAGTCAATGTCTGGAGATTGGCCTTGATTTTTGAAGGAGAAAGCACTATTATTAGACAAGTGAACACATGATGCACACATTCCTTTGACTACATTAGTGAGGAGGACATCGTATATACACAATATGGAGGTTATTGTATTTGCTAAACCCCAACACTGACTATTTAATGTGTTTATTAAACTATTTTCCTTGTGATGACCATTGATCGCCAATGGGAATACACAAAAAGGTGATTTCAGGTTTAACTATCCTTGTGGGGACATTTGGTCTCTATAATGAATGATTAACCTGACACACACACACACACACACACGCACGCACGCACGCACGCACACACAAACACACACACACACACACACACACACACAGGTTTGTTTTTATGGTTTATGGGGACTCTCCATAGGCGTAATGGTTTTTCTACTGTACAAACCGTATTTTCTATTGCCCTACACCAACCCCTAAACCATACCCCTCACAGGAAACTTTGTGCATTTTTAGATTGTCAACCTCACAGGAAACTTTGTGCTATTTCAGATTTGCAATACACTCCATCCTGTGATTTATATGCGTTTTGAAAAGTGGGGACATGGGGTAATGCCCTGAAAAGTCACCTTCTCCTTGTAATACCTATGTCATACCTTTATCATTATACAAATTTATGTCCTCATTTGTCACAAAAATGCACGCGCACACACACACACACACACACACACACAAAGAGAGAGAGAGACACACACTTGAACAAACAACATCCCATGTGAGTCTATGCCATTGCAAAAATGTCCCTGATTTTCATTTGACCTCAGCATGAAGTCTATTTTAGAGAAGTCCATGTGGGACATCACTGAACAGGTAATGTCACAGAAGTGAAGTATCATTATGTTGAAGACTACAAAGACGTTTAGAAGTAGCTACTTCTGAAGTAAGCAGAGCACCCTCCACACTTTCAATCATCATCTGAGTCAAAGGTAAACTGTCTAGTTATGTCAATCACAGCACTTAAATAAAAGTTCACTCAAAAAGGCAAAGTCTCTCATTACGGACTCTTGTTCCAACCCTGCAGCGCTAGTATTCTTCCGTGGGACACTAAAAGAAAAATATTTTCACGTATAATACCTGGGTAAATAATAACAGAAATATTAATTTGGGTAATTCATCATACACAGATTGATGCTCTTGCTGTTGAAGCATTTTGATCCAAGAAGAGCATCTTGTGGAGCTGCTCGAATGCAAGTAACTCAACTTGTTGCTAACAGTTAAATAATTCAAAGGCAAGTTTTGTTTTCATTGCATAAACGCTATATAAAAACGTTGGCGTCTTTTCGGAGTCTATAAGATCTTGTAGGCTACGCTTCATGTCACTGTAAGCTGATGGACATTAGATGGTGCTACAACAGAAGAGTTTGAATCAACCATCACAACACTGAAGCAGCTGCAAGACGACGAGTTTCATCTGGAAAAAATCTTGAAAATGTCTGTGGGTATGAAATATTCTGCAAGTTCTATATTGTGTGCTTTGGTCTATGTGATATCGTTATCAAATTAGAGTAAGAACACTAACAAATAAATGCTTAGTCATCCATTCATCCAGGAACTACAACCCACCTTCAGACGTAAATCTGAGAATAGTTGCCACAACATATCTATAAAAGATTTCTTCTAATATAGGCCTACAGCTTATATGAATGTATTAGGGAAAATGTAGGCGTATAGGCTACTAAATGCAAAAGTGTTTTAGTAAGCTAGATTTTAATCAGTCAACATTTCCATTCTTCAGATAGGACATGATATGTATATATTTATCTGTGCTTTATATATTATATATTTCACTTTAGCCATTTGAGTAATAGTAATACAATAATCCGCTGTTAAAATGCTTAAGAACATAACTGTGTTTTTGGGCTGTTGTCTGAAAAAAAAAACATTAAAGTATAAATAAAAATATATTTATTATATTATATTATTATACTATACTATATTATATCTCCTTAACATTTTTGAAAGGCATGGGGGGGGGCACAAAACTCCCATGTTTCAAACAGTCAAAATGACATAATTAATAACCTTCACCACAATAAAAAGAATTCTATCATTGTACATGCCAGTGAACTGTTAAAATTGAAATTGGCCAAAAGTGGAACTAAGCGTGTTTCACTGGAGAGTGGTATTATATTACATTATAAAACATTATATTATATATATCATAGTAAATACATAGTAGTAAATACTCAGAGATGTATAATTTAATGGTTACAGCAGCATTTTTGGCTGGATTGACATTTTCACTCAGAGTTTATGGACTGACAGTGGTACAATATGATTAATACACCCAGATAAAAAGATTAAACATCCCAAAGGCTATATCATGCTATTTGTCCAATTGAATAACTTGCTGTGATTTTGTTAGAGGCAGTGTGTGGAGAAAACTCAGCACTTTTTGTGCTTGCACAATCACAACTGAAATCTTCAGAGGGTTTGTGCTTTGTAAGGATGAAACCACATCCTATTAATTCTTTCAAGAGGACAATAAACACCTCTGTTCAGAGGTCACTGTTAAACAAATGCATTAGAAAAACATGAAAAATGAAAGATTTGCTGGAAAAGATGAATGTGCACCGTTCTTTTTTTTTCCTCAGGCCAGTTATAACAATGAATTGGCCCGTACTGTGATGTAAAGTTTATGTTACATATGTAATACATAATGCCATTATCTCAAAGCATTGATATAAAATTAATTGAACTTCCTACCAAGTAGGAAGCAGAAAAGGTCAAAAGTAAATTTGCTCATCCTTAACATGAATTACATCAGTGATTCAGCTTTTAAAAGATCACATCAGTGGTTTAATAAACTTTCACTCAGAACGGAGTGAATAGAGCTCTTTGTTCCCTGGTCCCGGTCTGTAATATTTTGGCTCGAACCGCCGGGTCCCGATGAGGTTCATCAGCTCGGCAGACTGCAGTGTCCCTGGAAGAGTCTTTCACTCCCTCAGGAAACACTTGCACTCAATAGGAGCCACCCCAGCCCCAGCTGGCCCGTCTCATTTACCGCCACTGGTGACACGCAGGCTTTGAACCGTGAATATTTGGTGGGCTGTATACTTCCCGAATACTTCTTTATTTTGCTGCCTCATTAGATGAACAGGGCTCCAGGGATGAACTCACTCTTGGAAAGGAGTGAGTTTAGTGGTGGATCATTTAATAATGTCACTCAGGTGATGGGTTTCCCACAATACTCAAAAGTGTGTTTTCTAGAAATCACTAGTTGTGAGATTTTAAACTGAAGTGTCGAAGACTAAAAGCCCAGTCTCAATAATATGGTTATGACAGCATGTAAAAATAGTTGTAAATAATATAATATTTACATATTTATGTCTAATTGACATTGTCGTGGAATACTTTAGTGAAGCTTTCTGTTGGGATTTTGTCATTTTTGGTATAAGTTTCATGTACGGAGTAACCCTTGTGAAAGCGTGCTCTTAACTGTAGTGTACAGTACTTCAATTCCTAAAATGATATCTTGTAAAAACCTTGCAGATAATATAATATTACTGAAATAAAAGGCCACTTAAAGCCACTTATGTTTCTTAAAATACACTTTTAAAAAGCGCACATAAAATAATGCCAAATTCCTTTACAGTACATTTGATATCATTATGTTTTTAATAATCATTTGTCATGCTGTAATAAAGTACATGATGTGTTGACTAATATACTGTAGCCAATGTGAAGTTTTTAATTAGAATTTTAACTGTACTTAAAGTCAATGTATTTTAAAAACAAAATCGCAACTTCACAATTAAAATGTGTATATGACAAGTTTTAATATTTTAGTTTGCTATTAATGGTCATCAGTGCATATTAACCATATTTCAAAGAAAAAAAATATATAATTAGACATAAAGATCTATTTAAGTCATACTTTTCGTCAAAAAAAATCACTCTAAAGTTCAGTTAATTGTATGTAATATAATATAGAGGTCTTCACCAACGTAATATAATATAATATATCATATAAATTATATTTCATTTAATTGCAATTAACATGCAATAAAGTGTCCAAAGATAAATTAGATTATTTCCATATTATTATTTATTATTTTTTTGTATTATATATATATATATATATATATATATATAAAACTTATGCTTTTCTTTTTTACTAGGGTAGAGTGACTATAGTTACAGCAACAAAAATATACTTTATATATTCATATATAGTTTTAGCATTAAATCTTGATGTTCTAGTGCATGTTATCTGTTAACAGCCCTTATAAATACATTTTAAACTAGGTTTCTCAGGAGAATAAAAACTCAATTTCCATAGAAATTGCTCCATTTGTGCATTAAAAAGGATAAAAAAACCAGAGAGTGACAGCAAGAGATGAGAAAGATCCATGACATCTTCAGTGTGAGCTTTACTTTATGGCACCAAAAATGAGAGTGAAAAATGCTAATCAGGAAATAGATTCAACCTAAAGCATGTGGTATAGACGTTTTATTTACAATGCATCCTCTACGCCTTTACTGGAGTTAATGAGATTTCAAATAATCCTAATCGAACCGCATTTAAACTGTTATTTGGTCTGGAAGTGAGTCTTGCTGTATCTGGAGATTCAGGAAGGTGACAGATATCCATTATGGCATGAAATGTCTGCAGTGGATAGCAAGAGATTTGGCGAAGCAATCAGGAGAAATGTTGTGGTGGAGAGTGCATTAGACATTTGGTCGCCAGGAGAAGAGGCCTTCACCAATCTGAAACGTTGTGATTGCTGGTGGGGAGTGTGGCTTCAGTGGGGTTTGCTCTGTGAGCCTCAGATCTCTGCCACACTGCCAAACCAGGAAGACAGTGGAAATCTAGAGCTGACATTACAAGAGAGCATCAAGAATTTCAGCAAGCAGCCAGCTGCGTTTGAAAGGATTGGATCACTTGTCATGTCACAACAGGATATGTAAAAAAATTAATAATAATAAAATAAATATATATATACAGTGGGTACGGAAAGTATTCAGACCCCCTTACTTGTTGGGTCTTTCCCAAAAAGACTCATGGCTGTATTCGATCAAAAGGGTGCTTCTACTAAATACTGAGCAAAGGGTCTGAATACTTAGGACCATGTGATATTTCAGTTTTTCTTTTTTAATAAATCTGCAAAAATGTCAACAATTCTGTGTTTTTCTGTCAATATGGGGTGCTGTGTGTACATTAATGAGGAAAAAAATTTAACTTAAATGATTTTAGCAAATGGCTGCAATATAACAAAGAGTGAAAAATTTAAGGGGGTCTGAATACTTTCCGTACCCACTGTATATATATATATGTTTTTGAAGATTAAATATCCATCCAGCCATTCTCCAAACCAGGGTCACAGTAATGCTTGCAGATATAATTTCAAAATTAATTGTAAACTTATTATGTTACAAATAATAATTCATGTGATCAATGTTTGTTTGTAGGAGTATATGCATTACATGTCTGCAAAAAAAACACACACATAAAAACACATTTTACTTTGATAATTAACACTATACATTATTAATATGATGAAAAAAATCAATGTTTTCAAATTACGTCAATTCATTATAACATTCATTATAGCATTCTATTTAAAAAATCAAATAAATGTATTTGTGTCCATGAATTTACCACAAAATAGTGAATTATCATTTTAAATGAAGTGACATTATTTGAGTTTCGATAACACTTTACAATAAGGTTGGATTTGTTAACATTAGTTAATAAGGGTTAATAAATGCTGCAAAAATATGTTGCTTATCATTAGTTCATGTTGGTTAATGAGTTAACAGATGTTAACAATTGAGAACTTGTTACAGAGTTTTCAGAGGCCAATTTCTAGAGTCATTTCACATTATTACGTTTTTTTGGGTTGCACTTTATTTTAAGGTGTCCTTGTTACAGTGTAATTATACATTTAAGTATGGAGTAATATTAATTAACTACATGTACTAACCAGGGCTGGACTGGGACAAAAAAATCGGCCCTGGCATTTTTTGGTCCAGGCGGCCCACCACCACTTCAATACATATATATATATATATATTACACTATATACACTATATACTATATACACTACACTATTACACTATATACACTATACCAGTCAAATGTTTTTGAACAGTAAGATTTTTTGATGTTTTTTAAAGAATTATCTTCTGCTCACCAAGCCTGCATTTATTTGATCCAAAATACAGCAAAAGCAGTAATATAATGACATATTTTTAATATTTAAACAACTGTTTCTATTTGAATATATTTTAAAATGTAATTTATTCCTGCGATTTCAAAGCTGAATTACTCCAGTCACATGATCCTTCAGAAATCATTCAAATATTCTGATTTACTGCTCAAAAAACATTTATTATTATTATTATTATGTTGAAAACAGCCGAGTAGATTTTTTTCAGGTTTCTTTGATTAATAGAAAGTTCAGAAGAACAGCATTTATCTGAAATATAATTTTTTTTGTAACATTATAAATGTCTTTATCGTCACTTTTGATCAATTTAAAGCATCCTTGCTAAATAAAAGTATTAATTTCTATCATTAATTTCTATCATGTATAATGTTACAAAAGCTATTTATTTCATATGAATGCTGATCTTTGGATCTTTCTATTGGATCTTTCTTACTGTTAATTTACGTTTTATTAAAAAGTGTTTACGCATTCTACACTCATGGCGCGCACACACATTAGGATAGGTTAGATGCCTGCCTCCGTTGCGAGTCCCTATCAAGCACTTTACCAATTCAACTACTCTCCTCTCCTCCTCCTGCCTGGCTCTTTGGCCCACATCACTCACCGCAGAGCAAGCCTGCTCTTGATAAATCTGCTGTGAAAACGTGGGAAAAGCCGACGAGGAAGAAGTTAGGGTGATGCGATCTTTATATAGGCGGAGCATAATAATTCATCGCTCCGTCTATAGCGCATTGTGATTGGATGTTTACGCTGTCAATACAGGAGACAAACCAATGGGCCACTTGCTGCTCGCTGTCCCTGCGTGATGGTTTTCGGCAAAAAAACATTCCGTCGGGCCCTTAAGTGCGTCGGCCCACCGGGAAAATGCCCGGTATGCCCGATTACCAATCCAGCCCTGGTACTAACTATATGTAGGATTAGGATTAGGGTTTGGTTCAGGGTTACTTACATGTTGTTATTATAATAGTAAGTACACCTAACATGTGTAACAAGGACACCTTAAAATAAAGTGTTACCGTTGTTTTTTTTTTTGTGCTTGACAAGATTAATCAAGCATGACATATCCACCGTCACATTTTTTTCCCCCCAAGGAAAGATACTGTTGACTCTTGAGTCTTGAATGATAATCATCATAGGAGGCCATAACCTTGATCACAGGGAGAACTGCAACCATTGTTTTTTTAGCCATCAGTTCATAATATCCCATATCCCAAAATGCAATTCTTCAGCCCTTACAGACATTCTTTGTCTGACAGAATGTTGAAAATCTTACAGAAATGTATTTTAAAAAGGCACCCTGATTTCACAGCCTGATTTCTAAGAGCATCTGAAGGACCAGACTTTAATCTGATTTCCTGGAAACAGATGAAAAAAGAATCCATGTTGAGCGTGCAGGAAGAAAGCCTTGTTATCGGCGCTATAACAGGTCTAATGCACATGGAAATCACTCTCACTCGAACCCCGCGCTGTTCTTAGACCTGTTCCTTCGCTCACACTGCAGGACATCTCAGCACCTGCCCCGAGAAGTCAGGATCTGCTAAAGCGCCACATCTCTTTTCCCAAGCTGCCCGTCTTGTGGCAGTCTGAGGCGCTCGGCTGCTGTTCTGTCAGTCCAGGTTTGGGAGAGAGATGGATCCTGGCTTCCAAAGTGAAAGCGATACTCGTGAATTCCAAGGTGCAGGCCAAAGAGGACCGTGGCTGTGACATTTTGATGTCACAGCTGCCACAGTTGTACTTCTTGAATTTCTTATTTGAGCAACACTCATAAATATTGCCAGACACTTTAACTTACCGCCAGCTGTTTTTCTATATCAGACACATTCTTCTGCAAATGTTTTTAAAATTTGTATACAGACCTGGCTTTCATGTGCAGATATTTACAGTTAACAGGTTAAAGACTGCAAGTAAAACACACACACACACACACACACACATCTTACGTTATTGTAAAGTGTTATCGAGACTCAAATTATGCCACTTACTCTTCATTTATAATTCCCTGTCATTTTGAGGTAAATTCATGGTCACAAATTTCAATAAAAAAAAATGCAAAAAGAATGTTTTTCAAATTTTGTTATAATGTTAAAAATGTATGTGTGTATAGAAGATTTGACAGTAATATAGTGATGTCCTCAGTATATTTAAAATACCATTTCATTTTTAATGGAACTTTTTTTTTTTGTTCATATATTTTTTAAATATTTCATTTAATATTTAATATTTAATTAGTTGTGCTGTCATACCACTAAAGCACAGATTTCAAATGATTAAACCTGTCTGAGTCATATTTCATCCCAACATTACAAGAAAAATACTAAAAGATAATAGCTTAAACTTAATTAAATCTATTTTTAGGATTTTTTTTTTTTTTGCATCATGACATAATTTCTTGATAATTAAACACCCCCTCCTCCAAATCCCCAAATGCTCAAAAACCCCACTCTCATTACTGTAATTTGATAATATAATTATTAAAATAATGATTTAAGTATTTCTATAGCATGTAGTGTTTGTTGCACTGCCTTAAAACCTTTTGTAATAAATTATAGTTTTACTGTATAGTATGGGAAAATAATAACCATATCACAATAATGTAAATCTAGTGTGAATCACCACTGAGAGCAACAAAAATGACAAAACAAAAAGTTAAATGCGTATACACCTTAGAATAATTGTTATATTTAGTTTAATAGTTTAAATAGTTATTTAACAACAGAACAAATATGCAAATATAAAATATTATAAGTATTGTAGAATAATGGTTTGATAGTTTAGATATAAAATTAGTAAGAAAAGAAAAGAAAAAGAAACAACTAGTGTAGATACAATTTTCACTCAAAAATTGCTTGTAAATTTCACAATTAATTACAAAGAAACGACAAGTAACACACTGAATTAAATGTGAACTTAAAAAGACTGATATAACATTTTTGTTGTAAAACATACTCATATAATGTTTATTTGAAAAATCTTTTTTTTATTGTGTAGATAAAAATATAATAAAAGGAGTGAACAATAGGAGTGATAATAAATAATTGTCATATTTCATTACACATTAGGATTTACGACTGCTTGGTTTTCACAAAGCGCCGTTCTACAATTCACCATAAACTTCACCTTACACTAGATCCCATTATGACTATCCTGAGGCCCATAACTGCTAAATATATTTACACTGATGAGCTCAGCCTAGTTTTATTCATAAAACTGTGCTTATATATTGTTTTGCTAAAAGTATATTGCTACTATAAACTGTAAAACATATCATTACACATTTAGATATAACACACCTGAACACAGAAATTAGAAAACAGACAGCAGTATAGGAAGGAAAGCGGGTCTTTTAATGTACGTGGGACAGAGTATAAAAGCCAGAGATTCATTTGGTGTCTAATGTGAAGGCCATGTTTAGGTCTGGTCGGATCCTCCGGCAGCCAGTATCCTGTACGCTTCAATCCTGCCAGGAACCAGGCCCTGACAAACCTTCACGCTGGCCACCCTCACTGACATCTATTTGCCAACAGCATCCAGCCAAACATTGATCTGCCACCGGCTTGTGTCCAAATATTTTACAGTGTTGTATATCAAACTCTGAATCATTCTAACTCCACACAATTACTTATTTATGGCCCTATAAATTATTCTCCCTGATATGAGCCTCAGTCACGTAAAGCTAATTTGGAGATTGTGCTGTTTGGTCTGGCAGCGCGTGGCCTGCTTATTTTCGTGACACTTACA